ATCAATTTATTTCATAGGCGTCGGAAGCAAATCAAAAGAGAGGGGAGGGGCTAAACCAAAAAAAATGTAAGCCTTGCTACGATAACATGATTCCCAATGTTTTGTTCCGTCGCCTGTGCCATGTCCTTAACATCGGATAACATGCCTTATGAATAGCCTATGTCTATATTTCCAGGAATCCCATGTTATTCTTGTAAATCACCTTTAATAATATTTTGTGGCTATTTTTAGGGACACCATGCTATTCTAATAACCTCGCCTGCCATCCTTCTGTTGGAGATATGCGAAGTGCCCTGAAAGTGAAAATACAAAATGCCATTAATTCAGCAATTCTTGTTGAATCTGAGGATCGGGGGATATTTGTAGGGGGTCGGAGAAGAAACAGGAAGAAGAAAAGGACCAAACATGGTAAACACGAAGGGCATTATACTTCATATGAAAAATAAGAACAAACACTTGTCTCTTAGGTGTAGCATTCCTCTCAAAACTCGTGAGTTTGTGGGGATTTCGAAAATGAAGGTTTTGTTGAGTAGTAATTTCTGTGAAAAAATGCATTTCATGGCGGCATTTTCTTCTTTATACCACGAAAATTAAACCCCCACGAAAATTATACCGATTTCATATTAATCAAAATATACAATTTTAATCATACTTTGCTAGCGCTGTACAAAATTTTATAAAAATTGGCTTTGAACCTAACAATAGTCAATTTAGACAATGAATTTGACAATCTTAAAAAATGATGAGTTATCTTTCTTAGCGGGGGGGGGGGGGGGGTAATGAACCTTAATCACTATCTCCAGCATAGCATTTTTATGATTTTAATACATGTGGATGTAAATTTTTGCCACGTATTCTCGTTAATGAATTTAATTATATAAAGTAATTCTGATATTAATTCCATATTATATATTAATTTGATAATTTATTTAGTTAAAACAGAAAAGAAGAAAACGAAGAGGTCAGAGAGCGGAAGAGGGTCCCCCAACATGACAGAGAAAAACAACAAAGGTAACGTCATCAGTATCAATAGATTTTTGTGTTTTATTCCTGAAAATTTTTTGAGTATATTTAACTGTAAACAATATACACCTATCGGGTCGTATTTCTCTTGAGTACTGTAGTTCTTGTATGTCTATTTCTTACAATTGACACAGAGACAGGAAATTCATAGTCCGAGGGCTGCAAACTTTTTCAAGTCTGAATAACGTCTACCATCGGATCTATAGACTGTGTTGTTTAACGTACCATTCCTAAATGTTTCATTCATTTATACATGTAGTGACGTCTCTTCCAAGGATACTGGTTATTATAAGAAAGGTCATTTGGCCAGCGATGTTTTAAATAAATGTACATTCATTTTATTTCATATCTTAAGGAAGAAAAAAAGAGCATATGGAGAATGCACTACATTTGCAGCCATTGCTGATGATGTCTTAATTTGTTTTCTACCTAACGGAGAGTTGTCTTTCCTTCAAAGCTTTGTTCAATGACAAATGAAATATGAGATGAGGAATAAGCTATCACAAAATGAAATGTGAAATTACACAAGTGAGTTATGAGATCACACAAATGAGATGTGATATCACACAAAAGACATATGCGAGGCCACAGAAATGAGGTGTGAGTTGACAAATGAAAATTGAGCTAGCTTACAAATGAGATGTGAGATCACAAATGAGATGTGAAGCGCAATATATGAAATAAGCACAGGTTTCCTCGATTTTTTTTTCAAAAATAGCTGCATAATTAAGGGGAATGATATGATTTTATATCTAAAGAGTTTACAATTTGGAATTTAAGATAACAACCAATGTGTTTATTTAGACTTTTAAATGAACTGTTGTGTTTTATGTATATGTGTATACTGTTGCATACAAAATCTTGTAATCAATATAACATTTTGGATCTGAAATCGCCTATTGAACTATATCAAAATTTGAATTACTACCTAGGTCTCGGCCACTTGGTCAGATATGAACGTTATATATGTATTATATGTACGTACATCTGAAACACTGGGCCTGCTAATTTGATAATTCGTCAATAAAATATGTAACACCGGCAGGCAGGCAACAGCTGTATCCTTGTTATGTTTGTATACAAGGTTTAGTCTTAAAATTCCTCTATATACCAGGTGTACTACCTGTACTAACGGACAAACACCTCTACATAAAAAATGTAAGTTCATAGGTCTAAGTTTTTATGTAAAAATGCAAAATAAAATGGCTTTATTTATCAATTTTGCTACTTCTTTTTTTTTTTTTAAAGATCCACCTAAATTCGTTATCTAGTTGTATATGCCTACAATGTTTTGACTATCGTCAGAGGTCTATACATATAATTATAATTATTTTGTACCGGTATTTACATCTAGGTCTTGCTATGCTTTAGATATCGATGCATCATAAAACACAGGGATCCAGTATAATACAAATGTTTTCTAATTTAGCAACATCTAGAAAACCATTATACTGCATATGCAATTTGTATCTTTGATGATAAAATAGAATTAAATCGGCTTACATATTGGTGACGATCCCAAATAAAATCTATGCACAGCTGTCTTATTAATGCACAAAATACGTCCTCATTTGCGCTGTCCAAAAGGAACTCATTTGAGTTGTCCAACAGAATCAGTGAAATTTTGTCTTTCTAAAATTTTAGTTGCCCAAGAGACATCAGTGGAAGATTTATCTGTGTATCATTTTTTGTTACAGAAATCAGAGAAAATTTTTTACTCTTTATCACAGAATTTAGTGAAAATTTTGTTTCTCTTAATCATTTCAGTTGTCCTACAGAAATCGGTTGAAGAAGACACCAAACCTCTGATCGAGTCAGGATTCTGTGACAGTATTATCTCCCTTGACGACGTACTTGGCCTTGACCTTGAGGAAGAAGAAGAGGAGGGGATCCCGCCTCTTGTGGAGAGTGGAATCAACTTTGGTCCCCTGGTGCAGTATACGTATGCAGTTCCAAACATCACAGACTACATCGAGCAGATAGAATCTAACGACGTAAGTGTCTGAAAATAGATGGTGGTAACGCATCAATTAATAACATTTGTAAGGAATAGATACAAGCAGGGACCTATATAAACTAGTATATAGATTCCTGGTACAAGTCCCTAAATTATTACTGATATTCTTGGGTAAATCCATTTATTTGTTTTGATATTAATTTTTTTTTATTCCTACATCAAAAGTTGTCAGTAATGCATGCACACTGTTAAGCTCGGCTAAGATGACATTGTAAGCTCAACTGGACACTCAGAACAGTTAGACTGACTGATGGTTTCAGTTATTCAATAATTTATGGCTTTACACACACAGATGCCGTTATTTAAAAAGAAACAACCACAGGAGGACGTTGAACAGCTGCAAGAAAAATCAAAAGAACAAGGCAACGCTAACGAAGAGTCCGAAGAACGAAAAGTGGAAATCAGAGAAGACAATTCAGAACAAACCAAAAAACCGGAAACGGAAGATGTAAACCAAAGCGAGGCTAAAGAAAAACCTGACTCCTCCCCGCAGGATGGGACGGTAGGTGGCACTAGCTTTCCAACAGAGGATGGCAAGGCGACGCCAGCAAATGGCGAAGTTAAAAATCAAGAAACAACTCTAGAAAAGACAGAAACAGTGGAAAAACAGACGCTGGTTGAGGATGGCATCACCACAAAATACGAAAACGAGGTTGATGGTGTAGTCATCGAAACAGAGCAGGTAAGTTTATTTACTAGTCTATCTGAACTTAACTCATCCCGTACATCAATCTTTCACAACCACTATTATTATGACTATTAAAAAAAAATTATAGTACGATTGGTTCTGTATCGAAAAAATCAAATTTGACATTTTTTTTTTTCATTCGCTATATAATATGTATCTGATTCTGCTAGATTCTCTTATTTTTGTCTGTTATAGAAAACCGTTGCTGCTGTAACAGAACAGCCGAACGGAAAGCAGGTCTCTAAGGAGTCGTCTCCTCTGATCACTAAGGAGGAGGAGGGTACCTGCCTGTGCTGTACCATCCTTTAAGAGGAAGACAAAAGACTCCACAAAGATTGTTTCGTCGGAACTTTCGATGGTCAGCGTGACTGCACAAGACTAAAATTCTGCATGTGTATTGTGATTTTTGTTACTGCTTTCAACTGATAGAATTTTTGGAATGTTTCTCTATGTGACGATTAATGTTTCTCATGTGACGAATTCATTTAGGTGTCTTATCAATTGTTTCAGTAATTTGACTGAACTCTTGTATACTGATATGATTTTTTTTTCAAGAGGACAGAAGTTTATTCATTTTTTTTAAAGAAAAAAACAATTAAATGAAAAAAAATATTATTTGGAAGTTGCAGACTGTAAACTTTATTAAAGACTCATACAAACCACGTGATGAACTTGGTCACGTGACAGACTGGTTAAAAGAAGGAATATGTGATGTATTCTCGCTGTACCGTTTACATTTGCGCCATGTTTTGTGTTTAAATACGATCAAATCTTTACAAGAATGACGGAAATTTTAGCTTACTTATCATTCAATGAAACTAAGCTCGTGTTTTAATTTTTTTTTCCATCTCGGTATATGTTTATTGTGTGGCTTGAATAAGAATAAATTATGTATAGGATTAAAGTAACCAGAAAGCTTAATACTGTTTTGTTGTTGTTGTTTTTTCCTTTTGGTCACGCAATTTTGAATGTGGAAGCATTCCGGGGGTAAAGTGATGATTCTAAATTGTTAAAATCATGATCCCCAGGGGGTAGGGCGAGGCCACAATAGCTGGGAATCCAATTAGGCATTGAAATATACATAGGAAAAATCTTTAAATTAAAATATTCTTAAGAACCACTGGGCCAGAAATGCTTATTTTATATTAAAAGCATGCTGGAGTAGTGTAGATTCTACATTCTCAGAACTATGGCCCCGGTGGAATCCAGTGTCACAATATAGGTATTACAAAGAGAAATCTTGTAAAAAAAAAATTATAGCATAGACAAACTTACTCAGTTGAGCGATGTGGTCCATGCCCTCTTGTTTTATATTAAAAGGATGCTGGAGTTTCTCAATGACAACATTTTATGTAATCTTCAGAGACCAGGTCTTCCAACAAACTGTCTGAATTTAACAGGGCACTAATGTGCTCCCTTAGTACACGACTTGTTTAAAATCTATGAAAGAAAATTTGTTCAGAAACATAAATCGACATGAGACGAGAAAACACCTGTTTCTGTTAGATAATCTCTGTTATAGATTTTATATTCAGTCATGTCTCTAGCAAGTATATATTCCACTGTCTGGCACTTGTTTCAGTAATAAATTTTCAACCCATATATATGCATAATATCATAGTATGCATATCGGTTAAAAAAAAAATATTACGGAGACAAGTGCCCATGATTTAGTCCACTCAAAGGCGGACCCAGGGCCGCACCATGCAGGTGCCCCCGCCCTCCCACGGTTTGAATTTTTGTTTGTAAATTTTTATATGTCCATAATCCAAGGAAAAAGCAGATATAGCTCTTTGAAATAAAAAAAAAAATAGGACAGATATAACAGATAGCTACAATTCCATCCACTAGGGGGAAATTATGGCGATGTAAACCCTCCCCCCCCCCCTCGCTCCCGTTTCGGTATTTTTGCACAGCCAATAACACATCTATGTGTAGATGAAAAAAAATAAAACAAGTATTTTGACAATCGATGTGAAAAAAAAACAGAATAAAGTTAAAAAAATTGTAAATAGATTTAAAAACAAAAAAAGAAGAAATAGGGCTCGTCCGGGATTTGAACCCGGGACCTCTCGCACCCAAAGCGAGAATCATACCCCTAGACCAACGAGCCGCTCTGTACACAGTGGCATAAAAGAAGATTATATTAATCGCTTCGATGCCGCTCGGCTGTTATGGTTTGTTTACTTCCTGTTGAACATTGGGATGGATTTCATTTTGAACATCTAATGCTGCAGGTAATAACACTGGGATTAAGAAATGAGTTGCATAAGTCTACAAGTCTAGCTGGTGTTACCCATAATAACATGTCTCTGGTTTAAAAACCCTATGGGTCACACCAGTTGATGTACCTTGATTTTTAGTACTAGGCCTAAAATTAAATGCCCCCCTCCTTACATTATACAGCTGGTGCATTTTAAGTAAATACCCTTGGTATTCTCAGCAGCATTATACGGCCTAACATCATTTGATAGATCTATTGCACATTTCTTTCAAATTCTTTGCGTCTTTTGCAAAGAGGAATAACTCGGAAAACATTTCAGCTAAAAATTAAACAGCCTAGATCATGTAGATGGTGTAACCATGGCCCCATGTAACTGTATCACTTATTTATAGTTCTTTGGTAGCCCTAGTGACTAAAGAAATTTTAGAAGAACATGTGAAAAAGGGGTTGGGTTATACCATCCAGGTACCTGCCAATCTAACCTGCCATACATACCTGTACATATAGATCGCTATAGACATGCACTACTACAAGATCCTTTTAGATTTATTTTATCTTTTCAAATCAACAACTTGTGAACAAGTCTGCCTTGCTGAGAAAAGCATTTTATTCTGGTTATTAAAACTACTATTTTTATAATTTTAGACTGTGAAACATCTTTAAGAAAACTTTGAATAAAACAAAGAATGCCTGCATGAAGAATACAACAAGTTGACAGTGAATTTAATGTAGCCTAGCTGAAGAGATTCTTGGATACGCATGTGTTCATGGTGTTGTGTTTGGTCACCTATTCCCCCCTTATAAACATTGACCAGAATGGAACACAGACACAGGGAAGCCATCAGGAAGAACTGGACATTCCTCCTAGAGAACCTTATAGTGGACGAACTGATGGACTTCCTTATCTCCCACTCCATCCTGACGGAGAATATGAAGGAGGAGGTGGAGATCCAGAGAACCAGGAGGGAGAAGGCCACCCAGCTTCTATTTATAGTACAGAAGAGGGGGCCACAGGCGTTCCAGACGCTCGTCGACGGACTTAAAGAGTGTCAGATGGGGTTCATAGCAGAGAGATTAGAACAGGCGGTTTGATATTGTGAGGTTCATAGAATGATATGCCATGATTTTGCTGTTTTTTTAGTTCAAGGCCTATGTGCTGTACATGTATTAAACAGTATGTTAAAGTTTGGAATGATTTTTATGTATGGTATCTTTTCACATTTAGTCATTCTATTATTACAATTGATTTGTTTTATACTAAAAGTAACTACAGTTTTATGTAAGAATCATACAATTATTTTTTAGTAATTATTGAATATGTACCGGTAAGCAGTTCAATATAATGTACTTTAATTTAATCAGTACTGTTGTATTGCATTCATTGTACATACCGTAATAAGTACATGTATCATATGATTTATACTTACATGTACATTTGTAAGCTTCAGGCATATAATGCCATTATAGGATTTGATCATCTGACCAATTTCAAAATCCCTTTAAGTTGTTACTTGTCAGTTATTTCAATACACATTTTATTTTGCATTTTCATTAGACAAAAATATTGAAGGAATGCAAACCAGATCTTTTTACTTTTAAAATTCAATCTCTAAATGAAATTGCTTTAGGAATGTGTGTTACTCAGCTTACATTTGTTTAAATATTAAATATATTATTAAACAAAACAAATATTTGAGTCATTATTTAATTGAAAAAATATATTAAAAATGACAAAGGAAGCGCTTGATGAACATGGAGTACTTCATGTTGAACACACTTTACATAGATATTATAAAGAACAACAAAACAGAGTACCAAGACTTTCAGTCATGAACAAACACTGGATTACATTCATACAGCATAGTAACTACTGAAAAATTCTACACTTCAGTGACTTATGCATATATCAGAGATCAAAGTGTTTAATAGAGAAATAATGGTTTAGAGGAGAAATAAGTCTTGGGTTTATAAACACATTCAAATATGAATCAAACTATTATCATTATTTTCTGCACCCATTGAGTATGGTAGCTTCAGAATTCAATATAATCAAACTGAGAAGTTATAAAAAGTATAAATATTATAGAAACACTGTTCACTTAAATTTTGACCTTAAATTAAAATTTGTTTAGTCTGTTTCTGTCATCTCAGTACTATTATCTTTTGATATAAGCCTTACCAAATAAACTGGATAATAATCAGATTGATTCTGATGTGATTCTAACCCTCCAGGTCCTGTCTGTAGTTAGTAAGGGCTTGGGAGGGAGATGTGATTATGATTTACTAAATCACACAGTCACATATCACATGTCAAATATCATGTGTCAAATATCACGAGTCAAATATCACATGTCAAACATCACGTGTCAAAAATCCTCTCTATCTCCCCTACATTAATGTTCCCCGGGCTGTTTTTTACGGCCTCCAGGAGTTTTCTCACTGTGGCTTGACGTCCCTCCTTCTGTTTCCAGGCGACAAGTATTTTAAAAATCTGTGTCTCTACACTGAAGCTATTGTTCATCACAATTTGTTGGATCTTTATGCTGTTGATGCCTAGGTAAGCTCCCAAAAGCTCGAAACCGGCCCCGATATGTTTGCTGACTTCCACCAGTTCTTTCTCTGTGGGAGGCCTGTCTTGAATGCTAGCTGTAACATTAGAAATCAATTTATAAAAGAAGGATCTAGTTCAAGACTGGACCTATAACAATCTAATTAAAATTAGATCTTTGATCCGCTTTGTGTAGTGATCAAACTGGAGCGGATCAAAGATCTTATTCTAAGAAGAAGATATGGTTTCTATACAAATTTTGCCCTGTGATTTTCTAAAAAATGAAACTGGTGTAAAAGTTGCAAACTCAAGCTTTTTAAATAATAGAAATTCAATGCAGAAAAATCATACAAGTCATTTTTCTCACATGTGTTTTTAAATGCTAATTATGACGTCATAGACATGTGCATTTTCCCGTATTTTCTTAAAAAGTAGCAGAAGACACCAATTTCCAATGGAATTTTCTTTCAGATAACATTGTCCACAGGCATCGCCCACAAAGATCTTGAGATATGTGATTTGTTATTGAATTTTGCACAAAATATCAAAAAATTAATTAACGTGGGCGACGGCTGTGGACACTGTTTTCTAAAGGAAAATCACCCTTGAAATGTGCCATTTTGAGGCTCTTTCTGTTGAAAATAGAGAAATGCTTCACATTAATGACGTCATATTTGCAGAATAATAAACCTTCATGCCATATTCTTTCCTGATTTATCAAAGTCATTTATTAAACTAATATTTAAGCCAGTTTCAAAATTTTTTGACGTCATTACACTTTTAGGGCGCAATAAAGATAAACCATACCTTCTTCTTAGATTGGACCTATAATGTATTTTCTCAATATTAACATGTCAATGCATTTCTTTCTCAAAATTTTTTTTAACTAGATTTCATCATTGTTTTATGCTAGTCAATGTTCTATTTAATTGTCCCCTGCTTTAGCAAAAAAAAATCTCATTTGTCAGTCTTGCTGTCCGTTTGTTATCAAAAATTGACCCTTGGCCATTACTTATGAATGAGAAGGGAGAGAGCTTTCGCATTTCACATGTGCATTACCACTAAGACACCAAAAGTAGGGAATCACAATTCTTTGAATTTGCCTGTTATACTAACAAAAAGATATACTTGAAAATACAGTTTTATGAACTTTTCTTAATACAAGTATTCTATGATCATGATAATCATGTAAAAGTGAATTATTTCTTGACTATTTTAAAGTCAAATGCAAAGATTTCTTTCTTTTCCTGTGCATGACTGAAAATTCAGTACTGTGTGGTTTTTTTAAATTAAATTCCACACAAAAGCTCACCTCCTGCCATCAATGCTGTCTTTTAAGTTCTTCACCATCTGGAATCAGGTCAACATTAGTCTGAAATGAAATCATTAATGAACCAGAAGTCTCTGAGACTGAAGCTCTACTGGTTTGTACTTATAGCAAAGGAAGAGAAAAGTACTTAAGCAGTTGGAAATTGAAACTTTTCAACAGCAATAAATAGAATAATGATCCTTGATTAAGTCTCTTTATGTTCTGAGTGCAGTCTACTTGCATGCCACATTTATATTATAATCAGACTAAAATTGTATTTGGAGTAGCATTTTGAAAGAATTTCACAGAAATTTCTATTTTTAGTAACCACTGCAACATCGTTCATCGAAATCAAAAACCAATAAACAGAATTATGTATCTTATTGTAGTCTACTTGTGTGCCAAGTTATATTGAAATCAGACTAAAACTGTAGAAGGAGTAGCATTTTGAAAGAATTTCACAGAAATTTCTATTTTTAGTAACCACGGCAACACCGTTCATCGAAATCAAAAACTGATACACAGAATTGTGTATCTTAGTGTAGTCTACTTGCGTGCCAAGTTATATTGAAATCACACTAAAACTGTAGGAGGAGTAGCATTTTGAAAGAATTTCACAGAAATTTCTATTTATAGTAACCACGGCAACACCGTTCATCGAAATCAAAAACCGCTATACAGAATTATGTATCTTACTGTAGTCTACTTCTGTGCCAAGTTATATTGAAATCAGACTAAAACTGTAGAAGGAGTAGCATTTTGAAAGAATTTCATAGAAATTTCTATTTTTAGTAACCACGGAACACCGTTCATCGAAATCAAAAATTGATATATAGAATTATGTATCTTATTGTAGTCTACTTGTGTGCCAAGTTATATTGAAATCAGACTAAAACTGTAGAAGGAGTAGCATTTTGAAAGAATTTCACAGAAATTTCTATTTTTAGTAACCACGGCAACACCGTTCATCGAAATCAAAAACTGATACACAGAATTGTGTATCCTGTCTACTTGTGTGCCAAGTTATATTGAAATCAGACTAAAACTGTAGAAGGAGTAGCATTTTGAAAGAATTTCACAGAAATTTCTATTTTTAGTAACCACGGCAACATCGTTCATCGAAATCAAAAACCAATATACAAATTATGTATCTTAGTGTAGTCTACTTGTGTGCCAAGTTATATTGAAATCAGACTAAAACTGTAGAGGAGTAGCATTTTGAAAGAATTTCACAGAAATTTCTATTTTTAGTAACCACGGCAACACCGTTCATCGAAATCAAAAACCGATATACAGAATTATGTATCTTAGTGTAGTCTACTTGTGTGCCAAGTTATATTGAAATCAGACCAAAACTGTAGGAGGAGTAGCATTTTGAAAAATTGTTTAATCGCATAAGCTCTTCTGGTCTCTGACCAGTAGAGCTAAAAATGATGTATTAAAAAAATTATCTCAAAGCCACTTCGATTTACTATTCATTCCTGTCTGATTAAAATAGAAAATTGACATCATGGTTCAAAACAACTTGATCAAATTTTCCATTCAATTCTGCGGGGGGAGGGGGGGCTGGCAGATTTTGGAAATAAATAATCTGTCCCTGTCAGAAAATGAAAATAAATAATCAGTCCTCCACTGCCAAGAAAATAAATAATCTAACCTTGACTTATGATATTTAAATATAGTGAAATACCCTTTTTATTTCCGTGTAATTTAACCTCAGAATCTTCAATTCAGAATTTTTTTTGGCTCACCATTTTAGAACCAAATAGTATTTAAAATCAGATTCCCAGACTGGATACTTGTAGTCAGTTTATCAAGATGACAATCATGTGCACTCAGTAGGTGTGATGAATCACTTTCAATACAAGCCAATTCTTATATACCGAAAATGATAATTTTCCTGTCAAAGAATTATACTTCCACAGTAAATTAATACAAAGTATACACTGACGGATTAAGGGATGTGTACAGTTACATGTGTATGACCCCTCCCCTAAAATTTCAAAGTATGATGTAAATAATATTAAAAATGCCATACTTTGGTACAATATTAATATTCTTGTGCTTAGTTTTCCTCTTAAAATACACAAAAACCCAGGAGCTTCAGGGGGCTTTGCCCCCTGGACCCCCTTCATTCAAAGTATGATATAACTAGTATTAATAAAGTCATACTTTGGTACATAATAACCAATACCACTATTATGCCTGGTTTTACTCATAAAATACACAAAAACCCACAAACTTCTTGGGGGTTTCCCTCCCTGGGCCTCCAGGGCTTCGCCCAGGACCCACTGGGGTCCTTAAGGCGGCCCCAGACCTCTTGCCTGCATACTTGCCAACCTCCAGCATGTAAAATTCTGGTCATCATACCAGATTTGGAAAGTAAAAAATCTGGTCATAACGCGTAACGACATTCACGACATATTTACCATGATTAAATTTTATACATATATATATACAAAGTATTTGTGTATTGAGAATTCTTTTATTGAAAAAGGATTGAATTTACTATGACAAAAAATTCATACATAATTTGATTTAATTTACATGTTAAAATGAGAATTGAAGGTTTCATATTTCAGTATTGACCTGAAGTAAGTGTGCATTTTTTTTTTTAAAAACTTTTCAGTTTCTGCTAAATTTGAAAGTATACCAATTTCAATATTGAAGTTATTTTCCCTCTCTCTTAAACTACTGCAATATGTTTTAAATGTGAACTTAGGCCTACACTGTCTTTGATCACTTCATTTTATCTAGAATGAAAGTTTTTGCCAAGATTCCTTGATATGTACATATTAAATAGTTTCTCTTTTTCTTGGTTCAATCAGAGACATGTGTTTGGTTCAGTTTGTTCCTGTTGGCCCTGATAACGATCTAGTTCTATCGGAAGCCATTTTAATTGACTTCAAACATTGATTTGTCAAAACAACACCCAGTTAATTGTTTACACCTGCACTGATAATTAATCCATCGGCATTGTTTACGTAGATCTAAGCTTGGGTTGTAACTGGAAGTTAAAAGTGCAACCTAATTTACGAACCAAATCCGGAAATCGGGAGATTTTCGGATTGTTCGGCAAAAATCGGGTGATAAGCATGACCCGCCGGGTCATCAAAAATAATCGGGTTACGGGTTGAAAAATCGGGTGTGACCCAACGAAATCGGGTGAGTTGGCAACTATGCTTGCCTGAACAAAGTTATACAATCCGAATCCGACTATTAGTATTATATATAAATGATTAGTCTTTTTAGAATCAACGGATATAGGTACCGTAAAACAAAGATAGAACGTTCTATCGTTAAAATGATATTGTCCTACTGACCCGGTTTAACGATAGAATTCGTTCCATGTATTCGTAATATAGCAAAAGAAACATGGGCGATAACTCGTACTCAATATAACTCAGTGCAATTTACTACGAACAATCTAGAGAGTCCCGAATGTAAACATGGCAGGTAAATTTGAAGCGAGAGAAAAACGTTGAGAAAATTAATTGGATTTTTGTCTTTAGATGGATTATTTTCTGGGATAAAAGGCATATACAATCTCAAAAAGGTTTGTTTTGATTAATCATGTTAATTTGTTTGTTATTTCCAGAGAAAATCCTTCTATATTATTCGGAGCGGATCCGCTCCGATTTACTACATTGCAAGTATATGCAGGGTTCGACATTCGCGCTCGTCACCTCGTCATTTCCACCCAGAAATGATTTCGGACGACCTGATTTTCAGCCTGGCTCGCCCAAATGACGACCTGGGACGTACAAGTTGGGAATATTTAATAATGATGTTTAATATTTTAAAATAAACTTCAAAAGATCTTGAAAACATATTTTTCTGTAACAAAACCAACCCATTCAACGTGTTCAAATTGCAGCCGCGTAGATTTTTCTTCCTGCCAAATCTGCGTTCGATCAATCAGCTGATGCAATTTTTAATCAAGGTCTTTAATAAAGTTTTATTTGAGATATAAAATATGCCAACTTAGTCAATGATCACCTTAAATATGTAAATAGTAATAATAATCATCATTGTAACATCTTGCATTCCCCTACAACTTTCTGATCATCTGATGATCGTTTTCTGCTGCTTGACAGCCATGTTGGGTGTCCACTGTAATATAACACCCGATTAATTCAGTCCAGGGTTATTCCATCCTCTATATTTAGGCCTTCATGGCAATGAAAATGAATGTCTGGTTTACATTTTTTAATACAAAAACACAACTTCTGTTAATTATCTTAACAAATTTTAAACAATTGCACATTAAGTTTTGTTTCATTTGATATTTTATTTGGACGACCTGAAATTCATTCGGGCAACCTGTGATCATACCAAGGTTGCCCAAATGGCGAGACCAAATTTTGACGAGTGTCGGACCCTGATATGGGACGTATTCTAACTGTGGTGACTGGTGAGGGCTTGTACCAAGACACAGATCATTCTAACTATGTAAAACAAAGAAGAAAACAAATAATCTGTCCTTGACTGGCATGAAAATAAATAATCCGTCTCAAAAAAATTTGTTAGCCCCCATCCCCCCCCCCTCAGAATCAAATGGTCGTCCTCTAAGTATAGTTTATTATTTTAGTTTTAATCCTTGCCCTATCTTCCACCTCTGTTATATAATTTTAAACTTAAAAATTTCAGCTTTCTTAATCCTTGAATCCGTTTCTTAAAGAGTTATAACCTGTATAAGTGTACCACGTGTACCTGATGTTATATGTTCTGCTGTACATCGACAAACAACACTTAATTTTACTACAAACTCTGTAGATGGATGTACCCTTTTAGCTAATTTAAAAAAAAATCAGGGAAAACTTACAATGAAAAATGATCCTCAATACTTTCATTTCTTGCTGAAAGTAAAACTTCTTTCTGTCAAGACATGCAAACCAAACCCTTTTGCACATTCAACTTTCGATTTCGAATGCGACTCTTCAGTTTAGAAGGTAGATAAGGTCGTCTTAAGCCTGTTGTCAGCAAACCGGCGAAGCCATCAAGTGATCAACTGGTATTAAGGTAGAAAACTTGAAACGGCTTAAACGACAGGCTTGAAGCAACGTACTCCAAAGTAAAAAAATCTTTAACTTCAGCTTAAAAAGTGTTGTTCTTCAGTTCAGGACACAGAACTTGAATATTCATCATGATAACATGGCACTTTAGTTGAACTTCGAGCCCGATGTTTTAACAATGCGTTTACTTTTTAGAAATATTTTTATTTTCTCGGTTCTGGTAGTAGTTTTAACGGATGACGTTTGTGATAAGGACGATAAAGAATGTAGAGAGAAGACAAGTGAAAAATCAAAATATTCTAAAGGTACTGTTGTTTTACATTGTAACTGTGTAAGGCTAGTAACAACCACAACACAGGCACTTGTTTTGTATACAGGGCATCCTCTACTTATTTTTACCACCAGGTACCTAACTCATTTTTTAAGGCACCCCACTTCAAGTTCGTATTTTCTTAATATATCAATAAAAACCTACTTTAAAATGACATCATTCACTACAAGAGACTTTTTTCTTGTAAATTAAATTGTTTCAGATGTCTCTGGTCGAGCGTCTTTATATTGTAAACAACTCATTTATTCCTTGAAAGTTACGTGGATACATTTTAAGATTTTTATTAGGATACTGCTTCCGGTTGGGGGTACGATAACACCAGAGGCTTCCAAGTATTCTGTTCCAAGGTCTCTGGTTTTATCGTTAATTTGTAACCCCAAGTGGAGCTACATGTAACTTGTATCCTAAGAAAGTCTTAAAAAGTATTCGAATAAGAAAGGAGTAGTTTATGATAAAGAGGCTCGACCAGAGATGTCTGATGTGTTTTTATTGACAAGTAAAAAGTCTCTTGAAGCAAACGATGTCAACTTAAAGTAGGTTAATGATTGATTTAGTAACAAAATACGAGTTTGAAGTGGGGGTCACGTAGCCTAAAAATGAGTTAGGTACCTTGTGGTATAAATAAGGGGGACCCGTATACAAAACAAGTACCTGTGGACCAAACATATGCCTGATGTACCCAAGTGCATCCCTTGTAACCACTTTGGTACACCTTAGCGGCAGCTTTGATCCTGAAATTCTATCTAAGAAAGGGCAGGCCTCTAAACCCTGTAGTGTTATATGCATTAAGTCATATGGTTCAGTGATTAGATTATCTGCTTTAGAGTCAAGGATTGGAGTAAGGAGTTGATCTTTACATCCAGGGTTCGAATGCAGTGCTGCAGTACATTCAAATCAGTCCTTCAGAAGAGACTATAAAAACCAAGGTTGCAGTAAGTGCTGGCACTAAAAAACCCTCATTGGTCATGGCTCTGAGTACTAGGGCTGTCACGGTTCCAAAATGTTTCGGGTCGGGTCGGTTCCAATTTTTTAAGGTTCAGTTTCGGGTTTTTTGGTTCGGGTATACAATGGAATAAAAGCTCATGATTTGAATTATATTCAACAAAAAAAATTATTTTCATTTATTCTAAGAAGTAGCAACATAATAATTAGTTTAAAGTAGTTTCCTGACTAGAAAACAATTGTACTAACTTATTTAAATCTCATTATAATGGCAAGGTACTAACGAATCTCTCGTTTTAGACGCCATTTTTATGGTAAACCCTACTCTACTAGTCACAATTGTACAAACTTATTTAAATCTCATTATAATGGTAAGGTACTAACTGTACAAATCGGAACCGAATCAAATTCTGGAAAAACAGAACCGAACCCGACCCGAATTAATTGTTCTGCGGTTCCGGGTCATATCAGGTACCAGTGACAGCCCTACTGAGTACCAAGTACTATGATGTTAGCTGGTTTAAAATTTGCAACCCTCTTCAATCTGGCAAGTGAAAGTTATTTCTCAAAAGGAATGTTAAACAAACAAAACAAATAAATGATTATATAATTAGAATATGTATGAAACCTAAATGTATAAATGGGAGAGTCTTGGTTGACCTTTAAGGAGGGAGGAATGTGGTGGTCAGATGGGTTTATTTGCCAGTGTCAAGAAACAATTTCAGTTGGTATTAAAGCACATGACTCGAGATTTAGGGTGCCCAGTTTCAAATCCAAGTCTGGTCTATCACATTTTCTCCACTCCTGGTACATGCATATACCGGTAAATAAACATTGCAAGGCTGAGAGTGATGTCAAATGGTTAATTGTTGTATGAAAAAGCTGCAGCTACCTTAATATGCATACACTTGCAAATAATCCTAAATGTATTATGATTTTTAAACAATTTTCCAATTTTGCTTTGAATCAATGTCCCTTGAAAAATATAGAATTGTTAACATTAACATGATGAGCCAAAAATAATGTACACCACAGCTAATATAGGTATTTATTAATTATCAATTTATCAAGATGCATTTATATTATAGTTTGCAGTTAAGTGTGAAGTTTTGCATGTCGTCATGTTCTTTTTCGTCAGATGCATCCAGCGTAAACAATTCACGTGATTGGTCAACTCAGATTATCAACATTGACACGGAAATAATCTGTTTCATGAGCAACCAATTGCAATCAGAGATAAGAAGAAAGTTCCAGGTTAAGAGGCATGTACTACCGGTATTTGCTGTCAAACTAGATCGTGACATACCGTTAAACTTTACACTTAACTGCAAACTATTAATAGAACTTAGGACAACTTAAGTCCTAACCATCTGGTTTGTTTCATGGGTCATGATGAATTAGAAATCTTTTCTAAAGTTTTATTCATTTATAAATAACAGATGCAAAAAGTGATAAGTGGAAGAAATACCTGAAGAAGATAGAAAAAGCTGTAAAAGGTTACACAGATTGTACACAAGATGACTGCAGCTGTCACAGAAGGTGGGTGTAATGTGAAAAATTTTAAAAAATTACTGTAGATTGGCAAATAATCACGATGGTTTCAATTTTGCCATGCTCGTGATTTATAATTTTTTCCACGAATTTAATCCCATCGTGAATTACATTATTAGTTTTTAAAAAAGCTTAACAACTCAAACAAAATTTTGAATTAATTACTTGCAACGTGAAATTAAAACCATTGCAATTGGTACTTTTTTGAGATATCATGAAATTTTTACTCTTTGGAATTAAAAAAACTTACAGTAATCATTAACGTGTCTGGTGACGATTTGGTTTATAAGGGCACTTGGGGCAAACGCAGACAAAGTTTACATTTTAAAATTTGTTTTTTTTATGTCAAGTGTTATTGAAGAAGACCTAGCTCCATGGAAGAATGGAATTACAGAGGAAGTCTTTAACCAGGCCAGAAGTCAGAAATACGGCTCCCATTACCAAATCGTCAATCATAAACTGTATAGGGAAGAGGACTGCATGTTCCCAGCAAGGTATCTGGTATTTCTTATTAATTTGTTATTTTGCTGATTTGCTGTGCAATCTCTGTGAACATGTTTGCTTTGGAAGAATGTCAATAAATTACATCCATCATGCTTACCAACAAATACCCTTGAAGAATTGAAAATATTTTATTGTTTGCAAGAAATATCCAAGAGTTTTGTGACCTACTTAAACTCACAAATATTAATTCCAGCAAAATCATTTATTTGTATTCATTATTTGATTTAGACAATTGATGGAAATTAAATTGTTAAGGAGGACATGGCTGCATTTTTTAAATTTTCTTCTTCCATAGCATCTGCATGTTTATGAAAATCATTTAGCAAGAGATTATTTTAAAAACTAACCCCTGAATTACCTCCCTTGTCCCAGGTGTAGCGGTAATGAGCACTTTATCCTGGGGGTGATTCAGAAGTTACCTGACATGGAGCTGGTGATTAACACGCGGGACTGGCCACAGATTTCATCCTATCAGCCACCCATACCTGTCTTCTCCTTCAGTAAAGTGGTAACATTCTATTCACTTCATAACTACATACTCTATATAGGGAAATGTTTGCCCCCATTTTATTTTTGCCCCTTTTGTCCTAACCTCGATTGTGCATTTTTAAAAGGGGCAAATTCAAAGAATACAGTATAATTTCTTAAACATTACTATGACTGGATGAATTTAAATCAGGGCAAAATTGTTTGCAAGCGTGAAAGGGTGCAAATAACTCTGTACACAGTATAACATATGTATATCATGAAATATTAAAAAAACAGAATAGGGTTTAGTCATATGAGTTCTCCTAAATAATTCAATCAGTTCTTTTGATTTGATTTGTTTTGTTCTGAAGAGCAAAATAGAACTTTATGTAAATTTGAAAATACAATCATGTAGATAGAATAATCATTGTGATAAAGGGGGATTACTCTTAAATGGCATGAAAAATAGTTGTGATAAAGGGGAGTAACTCTAATGTGGTCATAAAAAGAAAATTCGTGTGATAAAAGGGGATAGCTACATGTATGATTGAAGAATCATGCTGATAAAGGGCAATAACTCTGATAGCTGGTTTTATTAGCTCTACTGGTCAGAGACCAGAAGAGCTTATGCGATAGTAATGCGTCCGGCGTCCGTCCGTCTGTCTGTCTGTCTGTCTGTCTGTCTGTCTGTCCGTCTGTCTGTAAACAATTTTTCAAAACGCTACTCCTCCTACAGTTTTAGTCTGATTTCAATATAACTTGGCACACAAGTAGACTACACTAAGATACATAAAATAGTGCATCGGTTTTTGATTTCGATGAACGGTGTTGCCATGGTTACTAAAAATAGAATTTTTGGAGAAATTCCTTTAAAACGCTACTCCTTCTACAGTTTTGGTTTGATTTCAATATAACTTGGCACACAAGTAGACTACACTAAGATACATAAAATAGTGCATTGGTTTTTGATTTCGATGAACGATGTTGCCATGGTTACTAAAAATAGAATTTTCTGTGAAATTCCTTTAAAACGCTACTCCTTCTACAGTTTTAGTCTCATTTCAATATCACTTGGCACACAAGTAGACTACACTAAGATGCATAAAATAGTGCATCGGTTTTTGATTTTGGTGAGCGGTGTTGCCATGGTTACTAAAAATAGAATTTTCTGAGAAATTCCTTTAAATCGCTACTCCTTCTACAGTTTTAGTCTCATTTCAATATCACTTGGCACACAAGTAGACTACACTAAGATACATAAAATGGTGCATCGGTTTTTGATTTCAATGAACGATGTTGCCATGGTTACTAAAAATAGAATTTTCTTTGAAATTCCTTTAAAACACCAGTTCTTCTACAGTTTTAGTCTCATTTCAATATCACTTGGCACACAAGTAGACTACACTAAGATACATAAAATAGTGCATCGGTTTTTGATTTCAATGAGCGGTGTTGCAATGGTTACTAAAAATAGAATTTCGGAGAAATTCCTTTAAAACGCTACTCCTTCTACAGTTTTGGTCTGATTTCATTATCACTTGGCACACAAGTAAACTACACTTATTTACAGTGTAATAGTGCATCGGTTTTTGATTTCAATGAACGGTGTTGCCATGGTTACTAAAAGTAGAATTTTCTGTGGAATTCCTTTAAAATGCTACTCCTTCTACAGTTTTGGTCTGATTTCAATATAACTTATCACACAAGTACACTACACTAAGATACATAATTCTGTGCATCGGTTTTTGATCAGTACAAACCAGTAGAGCAACAGTCTCAACAGAGACTTCTGGTTTGCTTTTTGACAGAGGGGGGAGAGTCATGACATCATGTACCCGGCATGGACATTCTGGGAGGGGGGACCCGCTGTCTGGCCAATCTACCCCACAGGACTGGGGCGCTGGGACCAGCAAAGGGAGATAATCACAAGGTAATCACAGGTAAAACTTACTAGTTCATGTATGTTCTGCTAGTATTATAGTTCATTACATAAAATAATGTTTCTTGGGGAATATGGTTAATGTATTATTTTAAAGAAATGAAAAATTTGTATTCTGCAAGGTTGTTTTTAATATCAGAGCTGCTAAGAGTTGGCCTTGGGAGAAGAAGAAAAACAAGGGATTTTTCCGAGGATCTCGGACCAGTTCAGAGAGAGACCCGCTGATTCTGCTGTCCAGGTCCAACCCAGAACTGGTGGACGCTGAGTACACCAAAAACCAGGCCTGGAGGTCAGAGGCGGTGAGTACTGGGGGGGGGGGGGCAAAAACCAGGCCTGGAGGTCAGAGGCAGTGAGTACTGGGGGGGGGGCAAAACCAGGCCTGGAGGTCAGAGGCAGTGAGTACTGGGGGGGGGGGCAAAATCCAGGTCTGGAGGTCAGAGACTGTGAGTACTTGGGGGGGAACACCTAACTAGGCCAGGAGATCTAAGATATTTGCTGAGGGGGATCCTGGAGGTCTGAGGCAGTGAGTGTGGATGGGTTAGGGAGGGGAGTTACACCACTAATATCCTTGGAGGTTTGAGGCAGTGAGTGTGGGTGGGGTTGGCAAGTGGGGTTACACCACTAATATCTCTGGAGGTTTGAGGCAGTGAGTACTTGAGGGGTGCACTACTTTCATCCAAGTTATCAAAGAAATTAAACCATTTTCCCCTGAAAAGCAACTATGACAATGTCTGTACTTGTTTGTAGATGATAGTTTAAGACAAGTTTGTTTTTATGACAGGACACCTTACACAGACCCCCAGCAAAGGACATCAAGTTAGAGGACCACTGTGACTACAAGTAAGTCAAGCTAGAGGAGCACGTGATTAGTGGTAAGTCAAATTAGAGGACCACTGTGATTACAAGTAAGTCAAATTAGAGGACCACTGTGATTACAAGTAAGTCAAATTAGAGGATCACTGTGATTAGTAGTAAGTCAAGTTTGAGGACCACTGTGATTACAAGTAAGTCAAGTTAGAGGACCACTGTGATTATAAGTAAGTCAAGTTAGAGGACCACTGTGATTACAAGTAAGTCAAGTTAGAGGACCACTGTGATTACAAGTAAGTCAAATGAAAGAAAAAGTGAGCTAGCTCACATACCCCACGCTCCCCCAAAACTTGACGGTGAAACACATAATGAAAGGCACAGTGCACTTTAAATACACAGTATAGATCAAAAAGGGCAATAATTGTAAAAAAAATCTTCACATCAAAATGTCTTGCACATTAGGACATTTAAATGTGGAATGAAATTTCTAGATAAATAATTGAATCAAAATTTCTTGGCATTATACAAATCCAAACATTAATTTGAAGTGGTTGGGGGGGGGGGGGGGGGGGGGGGGGGGTTGAGAAATTTTCTTGAATAATAGGCAAAACTCTTTGGGATAAAATAATGGAATATGTCCTAAATATCTGCATAGGTTGACAAAACTATGTACAACAGTTTAAGAGGAGTGGTGCTGACAAACTGTTCATCTCTATATTCAAAATATGGCCAAAAAGTCTAAGTTAAAAAGTGCGGAAATTCCCGGAAAAAATAATGGAATCGGAATTTCCTGGTAATATGCACATCTACACATTGTGTCCTAAATATCTGCAAAGTTTGACGAAATTCTGTGCAGCGGTTTAAGAGGAGTGGTGCTGACAAACTGTTCATCTCTATATTCAAAATATAGCCAAAAAGTCTAAGTTAAAAAGTGCGGAAATTCCTGGAAAAAATAATGGAATCGGAATTTCCTGATAATATGCACATCAACACATTGTGTCCTAAATAGCTGCAAAGTTTGACGAAATTCTGTGCAGTGGTTTATGAGGAGTTGCGCTGACAAACTGTTCATCTCTATATTCAAGGTATGGCCAAATGTCTAAGTTAAAAAGTGCAGAAATTCCTGGAAAAAATAATGGAATCGGAATTTCCTGGTAATATGCACATCTACACATTGTGTCTTAAATATCTGCAAAGTTTGACGAAATTCTGTGCAGCGGTTTATGAGGAGTTGCGCTGACAAACTGTTCATCTCTATATTCAAGGTATGGCCAAATGCCTAAGTTAAAAAGTGCAGAAATTCCTGGAAAAAATAATGGAATCGGAATTTCCTGGTAATATGCACATCTACACATTGTGTCTTAAATACCTGCAAAGTTTGACGAAATTCTGTGCAGCGGTTTATGACAAAAAAAGGAGTTGCACTGACAAACTGTTCATCATTAACTTTTATTTATATTCAATTTTGACTTGGTGCAAAATTTGGTTGCCCAAAATTTTTAAGAAAAAAAAAACCAATTATTGTACCTTAATTTGTTGTAAATATGAAAGTTGACAAATTAATCTCTGTTTTGAAGTTAACTGCCAGAAAAAATGTTGATATGGTGGTGATGCTACATTTGTAAATGTACATGTATATAAAACACTTTCCTGTCATTTACATGTAACTATCCTGAAAACACAGAGTATGCAGGAATATTATTTACACATTTTTGTAATTTTTCCTATAAAAAATTGACCTGCAAAGTTTGACGTGAATAAAAATTCCTTAATTGTAGAGAAAGCGTAATCTCTCTTTCATAATAAGACTGTAATGTAAGTTTGCGATAATCGTATGTTTTTGACAAAAAAAAGAAAAACGAACCCGATTTCTGAACTGACTGAATGCAACAACAATGTCCCGTTTTTGACGGAAATCAAGTGTTTGATTTATTGTGTTGTTTATAAACTTATGTGAGATTAAAAGAAATGTTTCTGTCAGAAATATCCACTTGCCCGATCGGACAAGTACATTGATAGTTTCACATGCCCGAACTGAGAATTTACTTGTCCCGGGCAATCGGACAACCGTTAATGTCCATCCCTGAGAGGATCACTGTGATTAGTAGTGTGTCAAGTTAGAGGACCACTGTGATTACAAGTAAGTCAAGTTAGAGGACCACTGTGATTATAAGTAAGTCAAGTTAGAGGACCACTGTGATTACAAGTAAGTCAAATTAGAGGACCACTGTGATTAGTAGTAAGTCAAGTTAGAGGACCACTGTGATTAGTAGGAAGTCAAGTTAGAGGACCACTGTGATTACAAGTAAGTCAAGTTAGAGGACCACTGTGATTACAAGTAAGTCAAGTTAGAGGACCACTGTGATTATAAGTAAGTCAAGTTAGAGGACCACTGTGATTACAAGTAAGTCAAATTAGAGGATCACTGTGATTAGTAGTAAGTCAAGTTAGAGGACCACTGTGATTAGTAGTAAGTCAAGTTAAAGGACCACTGTGATTACAAGTAAGTCAAGTTTGAGGACCACTGTGATTACAAGTAAGTCAAGTTAGAGGACCACTGTGATTACAAGTAAGTCAAGTTAGAGGACCACTGTGATTATAAGTCAAGTTAGAGGACCACTGTGCAGCGATTTTTTTCCACCCTTTGGGAAAGGGTCCGGTACCGGTTCAATTGGGAAAAATAACATCAAAGAAAAGAAAAGCAAGTTTTTTCTTATTTATGTGAATGCAACATATTTTGCATTTATACCAACTTAATTACCCATTACTGCTTGTTTTAAAGAATAAACAACAAGTACTTATTGTTTTTGATATCAACGTCCCTTGTTTTCACATTTTCATGCTTTCAATTTGTCAAAATGTATGACATTATGTTGTCTAAACCACTGGTCCCGCCAAATAACAACTTTCTCTACTTTCGATTTAACTGGAAGTAAAGCAATTAGTCAAGTTGTACAATGTTTCATTTAACAAGAAATATGATGTCGTCGTAATCTTTTGCTTCAGAGTTGAATTGGGAATTTTTAGTCACAGAATTGGGAAAAATTAATGTTATTTCGCATTGGCACTGGTGCCGTTTATCGGTACCAGTTATATAATGTAAAAAAAAAACGCTGCTGTGATTACAAGTAAGTCAAATTAGAGGACCACTGTGATTACAAGTTAGTCAAGTTAGAGGTCCACTGTGATTACAAGTAAGTCAAGTTAGAGGACCACTGTGATTACAAGTAAGTCAAGTTAGAGGATCACTGTGATTAGTAGTAAGTCAAGTTAGAGGACCACTGTGATTACAAGTTAGTCAAGTTAGAGGTCCACTGTGATTACAAGTTAGTCAAGTTAGAGGACCACTGTGATTAGTACAAAGTCAAGTTAGAGGACCACTGTGATTACAAGTAAGTCAAATTAGAGGACCACTGTGATTACAAGTTAGTCAAGTTAGAGGTCCACTGTGATAACAAGTAAGTCAAGTTAGAGGACCACTGTGATTACAAGTAAGTCAAATTAGAGGATCACTGTGATTAGTAGTAAGTCAAGTTAGAGGACCACTGTGATGAGTAGGAAGTCAAGCTAGAGGGCCACTGTGATTAAAAGTAAGTCAAGTTAGAAGATCACTGTGATTAGTAGTAAGTCAAGTTAGAGGATCACTGTGATTAGTAGTAAGTCAAGTTAGAGGACCACTGTGATTACAAGTAAGTCAAGTTAGAGGACCACTGTGATTACAAGTAAGTCAAATTAGAGGATCACTGTGATTAGTAGTAAGTCAAGTTAGAGGACCACTGTGATTTGTAGGAAGTCAAGCTAGAGGACCACTGTGATTAAAAGTAAGTCAAGTTAGAGGACCACTGTGATTACAAGTAAGTCAAGTTAGAGGACCACTGTGATTACAAGTAAGTCACTTTAGAGGACCACTGTGATTATAAGTAAGTCAAGTTAGAGGACCACTGTGATTAGTAGTAAGTCAAATTAGAGGACAACTGTGATTACAAATAAGTCAAATTAGAGGACCACTGTGATAACAAGTAAGTCAAGTTAGAGGATCACTGTGATTAGTAGTAAGTCAAGTTAGAGGACCACTGTAATTACAAGTAAGTCAAGTTAGAGGACCACTGTGATTACAAGTAAGTCAAGTTAGAGGACCACTGTAATTACAAGTAAGTCAAATTAGAGGACCACTGTGATAACAAGTAAGTCAAGTTAGAGGACCACTGTGATTAGTAGTAAGTCAAGTTAGAGGACCACTGTAATTACAAGTAAGTCAAGTTAGAGGACCACTGTAATTACAAGTAAGTCAACTTAGAGGACCACTGTAATTACAAGTAAGTCAAGTTAGAGGACCACTGTGATTACAAGTAAGTCAAGTTAGAGGACCACTGTGATTACAAGTAAGTCAAGTTATTGTTTTAATTAATATTCCTGTAATTAATATTAATAAAGAAACAATATCAGCAGCAATTAGAGCTAAGAATTCTCTAAATTCATGTGGGTTAGAGGATGAGGTGAGTTTTTTTTATCCAAGCATGTTCAGCACCCTTCTGTCTTTCTGTGTTATGTTTCTTATGTAAAACCTTTCATCTTTCCTGACTGAATTCATTGACAAACTTCACAACAAAAAGTGTTCTTGGATAAAGAAAATTTCAATTTTATGGATGAAAGACCTCAGAAGAAGAAGAAATTATGAAATATGATAAGTCAATTAAAAATCCTCTTCTCAAGAGCCACAGGGCTAAGGGAGGCAGAGTTAGATGTAGGATTTGTTATTGAGTGTCAAATGTAAGTTTGTTCAAGTTTTGGCCCCCAAGGCTCCTGTCGGATCATAATTATAATACGAAGATTTAAATAAAAATATAAATGAAAAAGTCTTTTATAATCTTTGCTAAGAACAGTAGTACATTTATCACAATTGGTAAAAGAAATATGCTAATGAAATGTAGATTATTGTCATATTTTCTGAGGAGAGCATTTTGTTCCATGGGCTTAGTTTCACTCTCGAACAGGAGAAAAAAAATGTACATTTCTTAAATTAATGTTATATATTGAGCTTTTGGGACATTTCTTACATTAATGTTATATATTTAACATTTGAGACATTTCTTACAGGTACTTGTTTAACTTCCGCGGGGTGGCTGCCAGTTTCCGTTTTAAGCACCTGTTTCTGTGTGAGTCTGTAGTCTTCCATGTAGGGACTGCCTGGTTAGAATTCTTCTACCCCACCATGAAGCCCTGGGTCCACTATATACCAGTCAAGGACGATCTATCAGATGTGGAGTGAGTATAAAACTTAACTTCTAATAACAGTGAGTAGAATTTGTTAAACTAGAGTTGGTGGACTCATGTTAGTCAATATACAGCTTATTCAATAATTAGTCATTTTATCACTGTTGCTTTTAGTCTATGCTTTGATTTACAAGACAGCACTTATTATTGAGTGTTGATAAAGGTAGATAACTCCTCTGACCTGAGGTTCACTTTAGTCAAGCTCTTCGATTAGCACATTTAAAATGCACATTTGAAATTGAATTATTGCGCAGAATTTACCCTTTGTTTAATACTTTTACAGATTCATTCAGTTTTTATAAAAAATAACATGTCTAGCTAATTTTACAGTGAGTTTCAAACACTGATTTTGCTCTGAGCTAAATCAGGAAATGTACAATAACAAATCTACACTGTAATCAGCATTCTAGTTATAGACAGGTTTAATAAGTGTTTCAGGTTTCTCTAGAAGCAGCTCAGATTTAGATTCAGAATGGGATAAAGTGATACATATTCTGGTTAATTGGGATACATATTCTGGTTAATTGTGATACTGTACATATTCTGGTCAATTGTGATACATATTCTGGTTAAGTGTATTGTATAAATTAATGTATGGAATTTTTCCTTTAATAGGGAACTTCTGGAGTTTGCAAAAGAGAATGATGATGTTGTACATGAAATAGCCATGAGGTAAGAACCACATCTTGATATATAACAGGCACATAAACTTGAAATTCCCAAAAGGTAAGATGTTTCTTGATGTATAACAGTCACATTGTTTTGAAATTTTGGGATATATTTTGTGGGGAAAATGGACACGATATAATATTCAATGGCAAATAAATAATTTTCATTTCAATATTTTTTAATGCAATGTTCTATGTTTTTGTTTACAGTTTGTAAATAATTTGTACAAAGAGTTCTCATTATTTCCTTTTGAACATATGTTAAAAATTACCTCTGTTTGATTTTCATTTATTAGAAAAAGTAAAAATCGAAATTAAAGAAAAATCATTACAGGTTACTTTTATTGGTTCCTGATTATACATGTAGTTTGTTGACAGTAAATATTGAGTTCAGTTATTTTGTAATTTGAATCATTTTGACAAAAACTACATGCCGTCTATTTAATATTTTTACAGAGGTCGACAGTTTATCTGGGATCACCTCAGAATGGAAGATGTGTCTTGTTATTGGGAAACTCTACTAAAGAAATACGCCAAATTGTTAAAATTTAAACCAAAACGAAACAAAAGTTACAAGCAAATCAAATAATAACTACTAAAGAAATACACCAAGTTGTTAAAATTTAAACTAAAACGAAACACGAGTCACAAGCAAATCAAATAATTTATGACTTTTCTCTCTCTTTTTTTTTATATAACATGCAGTCTTTTTAATTTTATAATAATAATTTTTTTTCTACATAGAGGTTTTGGGATTTTTTTGTTGTTGAGCAGTAAATTTTGTCTCTGCCATATATTAGTACGGTAATTACAAATGTACATGTACGTTACACATGAATTGTATATATCCTGTTGAGCTGCGAGCAGCTTTTAGGACTGACATGTCCATAACTTGATAAAAACTGAAATATAAAATTTGGGGTTTATATAGCCACTAAGGAATATTCAGGATCATAATAACACAGTAAAAGACTAGAGATGTAAAAAATGATAACTAAAGTCACTGTGATAAAACAGGTTAAGTTTATTTATTCTTCACAATTTTTCAGTTGATTGTAAGATATTTTTAAAAAAAAATGGCATCAAATATTTTCTCAAATTTTTTTTCTCTATATTTTTTTAATTATTACATTATTAAATTATAAAGAGCTTATAGTGCTTTGAATTAACAAAAATTTTTAAGCATAACTTTGTGTGCTACAAATAAGATCCAGATGATAAAAATAATTATATATCTGGATTTGAGAATACATGTACCAATCAATGTTTTAATCTAGTCTTTATAGGAAATAAAGCCCCGTAGAGTGACTGCATGTATAATTTTTTTTTCAATGAGCATGCATGGCAGCCAAATTCTAAAGAAATATCACATGGTTTCTAAAAAAAATGCTCTTTTAAAGTCAGAAGAATTTAATTACTAAATTTTGTACAAAATCTGTCATTTTGTTATAAATGACCCTCAGGCATACAGATAAATGATCCTGGAATTTATTATGGTTCAGGCTGTACACTCTATACATCCACCCCTGGCAATATGAACTCAGTTTTTATACCCAATTAAGTTAATTATGTTTCTGCCTGAGTGGAAAGAATTATTCAAAGTAATGTGCCATACATCTGTATGTAGTTTATTTTTCTAAATCTCATTCCAGAGGAATAATAATTGAAATTTTACTTTCACACACATAATTACAATTAATATGATAATCAATTTTAAACTAATTTGTTTATGTTACTGTGCAGTATTTTTTGACAGGAAATATGTGATAAATGATTATGAAATCCAAATTTAATGTACAGAAAATCCTTATTCAAAACAGTTCCTACCTTAGATGAAAACAATATACATGCACATGCATAGATACTTGTAACATTGTATTTGTAGTGCAGTTAAAGGAAATATAAACAAGTGGATTCTGACTTATTTATAGTTACATAGATTTTCAGTACAATATGATGGGCTTCCAATTTATATAGCCAATTTTATTTGTTTTCAATAAATTAAATTGACTTTTAAATCATAATTTGTGTGATTTGTTCATGTAGCAGTACTGGACAAGAGATGGGTTGTATAATATGGTAAGGGTGAAATGTCTGTCTATCTGTAAACAATTCAAAAGATACATGAACAGCAGAGACAGTTTTGGCACTTGCAATCTTATAAGAAAGTGGAACATAAGTGGGCTACATAATTATTTATAAAGAATATATTTTCTGTTGGTATGAGCTACTGTGGTTTATAAAAATCAAAATATCTTAAATGGATTTTGCATTCTGCTGTTAAGAGTTGCATTAGGTAAGAAGTTGATCCTTATGCTGTGGGTTTGAATCCCACCGTAGAATATGGTTCTGTTTTACAGTCAGTGCTGGGATGAATTTGTTCATTACTGCTCAATGGCCCTGAGTGTCACGTAAAGGTCAAACTCAATCTAATTAAAGTTAGATGTTCCAAATCCACTACTGCATGCTTCTCAATTTGAGGTGAATCTACGCTGCTGCAGCCGCTCCACCAGCAAGTGATGGAGTCTCAATATTATTTGAAAATTCTTGAGAGAAACATTAAACAAATTCATGTGTCGGTCAGATAATTTCCATCACCAGTAGCCAGATAACTCAGTTGGTAGAGCACCTGACTGGAGATTCACAGGGCCCATGTTGAAATCCCGGTTGACATTTCATAACAAGATTAAGAGCAAAAGCATTCTATTAGTTTATCATATGGATTAATAATGCATTCTTTGCACCTGTCTTGTTTTTGATTGTTGCATTCAGATTTACATTAATTTAGATTCAGATTTCTTAAAAAAAACAAAACCACTACGTGAAAGTTGAAATTTTATGATGCAAAGGATTATGTCATTGTGACAAGTGTTTAGATGAATTGCTATTTGCCAGTAAAAGAAATTAACAAACTAATGTTAACTTTACATGTAACCAGAACATGATGAAGAACTACATGAGGTATTATTCTTTGTTCAAATTTAAAAAAAAATCATACCCCATGCATGTACATGTATCTCTGCCCCCTCACATACAAAAAAATCCTGAATCCAAAAGCTATCAACCCCCCACCCCCCACCCCTTCCCTCCTTTCAGTTTTAAAATTACAGTGTCCTTTCCTGAAACATATTTTATTTTTAAATGATAATATTGCAATAAAGACCTTGACCTCCTGCTTCATCAATGAACAACTACTGATCATTTTTTTTTAAATCACAAACAAATAACTGCACAAAATTTGGATGAAGTGTTTATTGCTATAAATTTTAACTTGTTAATGTACATTTTAATGTACATACATATTTATATAAACATTTCAACAAACATGTTAACAATTTTTTAGTGCAGCTAATTAATGACCTGTGTATTGTTGACTCATGCACACAACCTAGAAACATTCTCAGACAAATTCACCCCATAATGAATCAGTTCTAAAAGTGGACCATGTTTACTGTAACAATGCTTGCTTAGACACACTGGAATCTTAGATATATTGGAGAATCAATAAAGACATGCAGCTGAAAGAAAATCTCATAAAAACAATAAAAGCTGTGGAACTCATTATTCAGTTTAATGCAGATAAGATTTTCTGAGTTTTTTTAAACAGTTGTCCATCAATACGGTCATTTTTCATGGTGCATTATCTTGCAGAATCACCTTATTAAATACAAACTGTGTAATTACATGTATCAATTAATAACCATCTTTTTTATCTTTCTTAAAGGACAGCTCACTCTAACTGCATTAAACTACCCTTTAAATAGAACTCTTTAGTGTGCAGTATTTAGAGCTTCCTTAATTTGAAAAAGCATAGACTCTCACATTTTGATCCATTAAGCACTATTGCTAGACGCTTCATAGATTATTTTATATGAATAATATGGTAGCTTTATGTGTTTGTTTCTGTTTTGTTCATTTTTTACCAATAAATTAAAATCAAACTTCAACATGCATTTCTTACTTAATTAGAATCACCAAGAAATCGTTAAAAAATCAGATGACAGAGATAATTACACTTAAAAAAAATCCATGCTTGTGATAAATATTGTTAATATACAGTAATTACTGAATGCAATGAAAAATAGAACTTGAAAACAATTTATAAATGATGATGAGATGAAAACAATATGTGAATATATAACAACAGTCAAACTTTTATTCCCAATCATCTTCGTCATCATCCCCACCCCCAGACTTAGGAGGTGGGGGTATCATTGAGGAAATCTTGTCCATGGCTCCCCCTCCCCCTGTGGGTGGTGGGGGTGGGGCATCTGAACTGTCAGTCCCTCCTTTACCACCTCCCCCACCCCCAGAAATGCCCTTCCTCCTCATGGTCAGTCGACTGAAGAGGTCACTCATTAGATCCCCTCCTCCTCCACCACCACTGGGGGCCGCCGCGGCTTTCTCTTCCTTCTTTTTCTTCTTCTCCAGTTTCCTATCTTTGGCACTCTTCAACTTTGCGCCACTTACACCACCTGTCTTACGTATGGCATCGAGTAGACTGGACCGTGAGTCACTGGGCGCAGTCACTTCTGCTGGCGCTGATTCTGGGACACCACTTGGTGGTGGTGGTGGAGGGGATGGGGCGTCTGGAGCAGGGGGTGGGGGTGGTGGTGGAGGGGCACCTGCAGGAGGGGGAGGTGGTGCTGATGGGGGAGGGGGAGGTGGGGGCGCAGCACTAGGGGGAGGGGGTGCACCTGTACTGGATGGGGCCTGGGATATTTCTGGAACTGAGGGGAGAGTTTCTTCAGGTACTACTGAAGGAAGGTCTGGAATGATACTGCCGAGGACTGAGGGAGCTATGGATTTCTCCTGATCTACCGCAAAGGAAAGGTCATCAGCAACACCTACAAAGATAAGAAATGTGAAGTCTGACAGATCTCTTTATATACCAGGTAAACATGTACATGATGAATGTCAAACACTTGTTACCTAATTTTTCCACACTTGGTTTTGTACAATATTTAATGGCATTTTGGTACTACAATGTGTTAGGTCTGGACTAAAAGTAACAGTTTTCATTGTTATAATGACCTAAATAATGAAACAGAATATCATGTTTCAAAGTTGTAAATAAAGCCTTTGTTTAAACATTATACTCATGTACATGTATGTCGTGATAAATTGCTCTTAGACATGATACATGTTGATGTACATGGCATTGTAATGTTCTATTATGGTATAAATTACAAGAGTATTTCTACTGGACTTGATCCTACCTGGTAGATTGGGGAGGAATTGTTCTAGTATGGTAAAAATTACACGGGAATTTCTACAGGACTTGATCCTACCTGGTAGATTGGGGAGGAGTTCTGGGACTACTGGACTTGATCCTACCTGGTAGATTGGGGAGGAATTCTGGGACTACAGGACTTAATCCTACCTGGTAGATTGGGGAGGAATTCTGGGACTACTGGACTTGATCCTACCTGGTAGATTAAGGAGGAATTCTGGGACTACTGGACTTGATCCTACCTGGTAGATTGGGGAGGAGGAACTTGATCCTACCTGGTAGATTGGGGAGGACTACTGGACTTGATCCTACCTGGTTGATTGGGGAGGAATTCTAGGACTACTGGACTTGATCCTACCTGGTTGATTGGGGAGGAATTCTAGGACTACTGGACTTGATCCTACCTGGTAGATTGGGGAGGAGTTCTGCGACTTATCGACTTGATCCTACCTGGTAGATTGGGGAGGAATTCTGGGACGGCTATCTCGGGGAAGTCCACGATGACGGGTTTGAAGGAGATATCGTCCACCCTCTGTCCCTGCAGACCCTCGTTTGTTGTGATGGTTGTGGGTGCAGCGTCTATTTCACTCTCCTCCTCTATTGCTGTGCGTGTCTTCTTCACTACTCCCAGGGGATCAAGCATGGTGTACTGTTTATATCTGTAAATAACAGAAGAAATATTTTCAATTGGTATTGGAACCCTAGGCCTCTACGTAATATTGTATACAGTAAAATTTTCCATCCTATTTTATTTTTGCTCCTCATTTAGGCGAATTTATAATGGGACAAATTCATGGATAACATTTTTTTTTTCAAATAAAACTATAACTGGGCAAATTCTGAACAAGGCAAAATTGTCTGCAAGTGTGAAAGGGCGACAATAACCCTGTATATAGTACATTGAAGAAGCTAACGTGAGCATGCATTGCCAAGCCTAGTGTACTGTTTAAATCTGTCCTCTGTAGTTATATACTTACAGGTTCTCTGACGTGTTAAACAACAACAGAGAGCTGATGGAGGGAACAGACTTAGGTAACCCCCCAAGTCCGTCCCTCAAGTTAGCGTCCTCTTTACGCTTCAACTTCAAATGAACGTTGTAGAACTGTAGCTTTTCCCTTAACGATTTATCGTCCAGTCCCTTGTGTTTAGTTGTCACTTTGTAATGAGGTCGTTTAATCTCCCGCAGCCCATTGGTGCTCTCTAAGGGAAACATTATTTGATATTCCTCTTGATTCTCAGCCGCAGGGTATTTGGCTGAGGCGAACACCTTTGTAGCTTTATTACTTCCCTTGATTTTGTCCACTTTTGCCTGAGCTAAGCTTATTCTGTCATTGACCCTCTGAAGTTTTGTCCTATTTTCGCTGATCTTGGTGCCGATTCTTTTGAACACTTCATTAGCGACCTGATCTAAATAGTTGAGGGAATCGGCGATCTGGTGGACTGTCTCTTCCCTACGTAAGTCTGGAGGAACATTTGGAATGTTGAAGCTTTGACAAGACATCTCTGGCATTTAGGTACGGAGTAGCAGAAACCTGGAAAAGACCTTCCATAATGAGTAACATATTCATAGACCAGTGCATGGTTTGATAGGTTTTACAAAATAATCACTATTCATTTCTCTTGAATGCACATCTTTAGTATGTAAATCCCTATCCTGGCTTGACTTTTTATCTAAGATAAAATTATATATTTACAAATGAAAAGCCATGGTTAGTATGTGATTTTTTTCCTTAGTATGCTGTTGTTGTTGTTTTTTTTTTTTAAACAAACCTGGGCAGTCATGTCATAGAGTTGGTCGTCTTCCGCGATAAATATCAATGGAAATTAATTTATCTAAGAACAACAAGCCAAATATAGGTTTTTATGAATTAAAAGAAGCACCATTTCCTTACAATAATCTTAGAAACATACCCACTGACAACACAGTCAGAAAAAAAGGGGCGGCATCACATGACTGGAAAAATCATTATCAACAATGAACAATGACAGCCGCGTAAAATTTGGGAGATGTATCATTTTTTAATAAGACCCGGGTGCCACTTCATATTTCCCCTATAGTTCATGCGACTTTAAACTGTAATAAGTTAGAAAAACATGGAAAAATTGAGCGTTCTATTTTTACCTGTGTTTAGCCCGGAAGTGCATAAATTTTCTAAAAGACAAAACCAATCAAAACGGAAAACACATTTTCCAATCTTCTGCCCTGAATCGTGCAGAACTATCCATGCATTCACATTGAATTCTTCCGAACTGAAAAACAGTTTGGTAAAAATTTACTTCATCAACTATAATTTTTTTTTTTTTTAATCCATATAAGAGGCGCATGGGCCACAAAGCTGACCTGAGTAGGCTAATTTAAAGCACGATGTGTGATCCGATTCATTCCACAATGTGTATGTCGATCACGACATACACGTACACATCAACAACATGAACAATAGAAACATCACTCGGTCTTTTCCTTCAAGTCGAGAAAATGGATGAATAATGTAATTGGTACATGTATATACATGTAGATGGCATACCAAATACAATCCTGCAAGATTGATTATCAAACGTCCTCCTTTTCCCTTGGACCATGCAGTTCGTGGAGGGGAATAATTTACAAACAGGATTGTCTCAGCGAATACAACGGACACCTTAGTTCTCTTATCCCGAAGAATGACTGTTATTTCAACCTCTTTAAAAAGTTCAACCTCTTAATTTCGGCAAATCATGCACACAATACTTCAACACTATGTCAGTGGTTTTTGGAGACTATGTCATCCAACAATCTATTGGAATTCCCATGGCTACCAATTGTGCCCCATTATTAGCAGACCTACCGGTATTTCTGTTTTAATGATAGTGATTTCTTATGCATTGGCGTCGGAAGCAAATTGAAAGTGGGGGGGCTAAGTGTAAAAAAAAAATTGTACCTTCAAAAAAAACCTGACAAGCAAAAAAAAAAAAAAAAAAAAAAAAAAAAAAAAACAGAAAAAATGGAAACACGAAAATCCTATTTCGGGGGGGGGGGGGTTCGAACTTCAGTACCATTTTTTTTTCCACACACCACCACTTTCAACATTTTGAACCTATACTTAGACGTATCTGTGGAAAGTGGGGGGGGGCTAAACCTTCGAAGATATGTTCAATGTCTATACTAAGTATATATTTGCAAAACAAAAGTGGGGGGGGGGGCTAAGCCCCCCCCCCCCCCCCCCCCCCCCCCGGTTCCGACGCCTATGGATTTCTTATGTCTACACGGTATATCTCGGTGAGCTTGAAATAAACAGAGTCACTCCCCATCTTAATTGTTTAAAAAATATATCTAATATACTATATTATTATACTTTCGTGTAAAATACTAAAATCTGATTGGTTTAGACGCAGTTAACAATCCGTTCTATTACCCCCAGCCTTAGCAACACACGTGACAACGGGTAACACAACGGTAATGTCACATGCGTGGAAATTATGCGCGTACGGTTCACCGTAGAATTCTCAAAACGTCAGTTGCGCGTTTGAAAGAACCAGAATAAACTTGACGCCAGTAAAAGCTTGCGTCCGATGTAGCTTACTTGAAAACAACAAACGGGGTCCCCAACAAACGACAGTCGAAACATGTTTGCGAGTGCAGAAATAACGAAACTTTATATGATAAAGGACTCTTAGAGAATCAAACAAACAATAAAGAGGTCAGTTAATCTTTTTCGCAGTAGCGGGGAGTTTGAAAGCTTTCTTAACTTGAACGTAAAGATGATCGACGATTTTTTTTTTGCTGACATCCTAAATCAATAAGACGTTCAGTATAATAAAATAAATGGTGCCTGTTTTGGAGGGTAACAGTTGAAATTGACACCCCAAGGAAAACCATTGTCAACCGACGCGTCAGCGGAGGTTGACAATGGTTTTCCGAGGGGTGTCAATTTCAACTGTTACCCTCCAAAACAGGCACCATTTATATAATGTTTATAGTACAGTAGATATATTTTTTTTAACAATTAAGATGGGGAGTCCCTATGGAAATAAAAGAAACCATCGAGTTTGACATATCTGTTTCATTTTTGGATCTTTTATTAGAAAAAAGACTTAATGATTACCTTACAACAAAGCTTCATGATAAAGGTGATGACTAACTTTTCAATCGTCAAATTTCTTTATTTAGCAATATACCTTTGTAATCTGCAAACGAAGTTTATATCTCTCAGTTGATTCGATACGCAAGAGCATGCTCTACGCATGAACAATTTCTATTAAAACGTGGTAAATTATTGAAAAAGAAGTTGACGAAGCAATGATATCAACGGTCTCGTATAAAGTCACCATTTCGTAAGTTCTATAGTCAATACAGTGACAGCAAATACAATTTATCATTCAGTCAAATGCTGACATTTTTCATACTGATTTTCATGTTAACAGTTAAACATTCATATATATATATATTTAAAATGATATGTTGAATCCGGGCCAGGTTTCAGACTATGCCCTAATCGTATGCCTTTCGACGTCTTAAAATCCACGTGTTGAATGTTTTATCGATAGCGACCCGTTACCTCAGTTGACCCACTAAAACTTTTTTTCGCCTGATTGCAGGACGGACAAATAACATTGGTTCCAGGTAGATAAGTTCACCAAAGCTGCACTACAACTACAACTGACTGCTGTGTGATTACAAGAAGAAGAAACATGGCGAAAGACACCAGGAAAGTCGTCATAGCAATGGATGGAAGCTACCACTCGGGTTTCGCTTTTCAGTGTAAGTTTATTTTTTTCCTGAGACATATTAATTTATAAGGACCCATAGATCAGTGACCTGCCATTATGTACGAATATCAATAGACTGTACATGTCTAATCCATTGGAAACAGGGGACTTTAGCCGCCTATAAATCAGTCTCATACTTGTGTCGTCTGTTGGAAAAATCTGCTTTGTTTTGCTGTCCTAGATCACATGTCCTACGTATGCATGTTTACATATTTACACCTGACCTAACAGGGTAATGAGCAGAAAAACACCTAGTTTTCTTTTTTAATCTTGAAAGGTGCAAAATCGATATCAGTATGACTGTATCAATACTTCGCTTTCAGATCAGAATTTGGGGGACCGTGCATTATGTCCAAAATATAATCTAAATCAGACCCGTAGCTACATGTATAAGGTAGCAATGTTGGGATGTGGGGTAGCCAAACATTTTCAGGTTTCGGGGTGTGGCACTACCATGCAAAAATATTCTTGACAAAGCGCCGCTAAAAAGTCACTGTCAGATCTAGCTGTCATTTTTGAGGAGACACAAAACACTGTGCAGCTCAGCTATTTTTTCTTATGGTATTGTCGTTTACTAATTATTGAATAAATTGATATAATGAGAACAAGACAATAATTGTCGTGTTCTCATTACATGTATATGAATTTATCCAATAGTTAGTAAACGACAGTGTATATTGGGTGGCTACATAAACTCTTTAATAATATTTTTAACTCTGGTTTTTACCCTGAATCATGGGGGGGGGTTAACAATTATCGTGGTATATCTATTGTAAGCTGTTTTGGTAAATTATTTACAAGTGTTCTAAACAATAGGATACTGGAATGGGAGCTTACTATGATACCCTCACCTCGGACTTTGAGGTCACGAAGATTCATTCCTGACAATCTAAAGTTGAAAAATACCGCACTGGGAGCGACAAGGAATAAATTAAAGCATTCATTTTAAACATGTGTTAATATATTCGGTGTTAAAATTCTTCATGCATTTATATTTGAATACAAACCTATATGACCTATGCAGAGATATAAATGTAAACAAACTGAAGAAAGGTATACTTTTATTTTTAAAGTTTTTTATGCTTATAAATACAAAAGTCGAAATTATATATTTCTAGTAGAATCAAGAGAATCGTCCAAAATTTTCAAATATATGTGCAGCACTTTTCTTAGATATATTTTGAGAGTCGTTCTTTATGTGACACAATATTAAAGACAGAATAAATTCAGTTATATTCCCAAATACAGATCATATTCAAGACGGTAATGGGACAAATGCATTTTTTTCAATGGACATCGAAGTGCATATAATGGAGTTATGGTGCACATGATAGACACAGCCTTCAAATCACGACCCCGCATTGATAAATTTAGGTCATGCATTTGTTTATATATCTACTGTATCATTATATATGCACAGTGTGTCACAAGTGCTACACTGACTGGTCGACATGCATGGATCCAGACAGTTAACCGTCAGCCACAGTGCATGTATCATGTAAATGGCTTTTAGAAATAACTTATAATGATTTGCAATGGTGACAATATATTGGGATAAATGATAAATTGTATAAAAACAAACACGAAAGTTACACAGATATTTATCCACATAGTAAGTTTTATTTTTCAGAAGCAGTTATTGGCTTAGTGAACTTATCTCTGACATATAAAACACTTTGGAATGTAATTATTTTATTTCACCTTGATCTGTGACTTTTTTTTTAAAATTTTTTATTTATTTTATTTTTCAATTTCAAGAACCAATGCAGTCGATTTTGTTGTAAATTTTAATATCAATACATAAATTACATCTACCTTTTATGTTGCTAGATCAAGAAACACTTTGGGAATAGTTCAAATGAATGTGTTGTCATGACTTTTACATAGATTATACTATGTAAAAGATTTTTTGATCTGGGTAATCTTAACCTGTTGGAAAATCTGGATCCGCCTATTAGTAAGATAATGAGAGCAATTCAGGAGTTGAATCATCAGAATCTGTTTTAATTTGTCTTTTCTACAAGCTGTCACACACGTGCTCGACTTTTTCTGTATCATAACAGCTGTAGTTTTCCCACAACAAGAGGCCTGATTCAACTTAATTAAAATGTGAAAAATCAATAATATTACATCATGTTTACAGTATGCCATGACAGACTACTTCCCAATGCAAACTGCATTCTATTAACGTTTCATATTTCGATGTCATCATTTTGTTCATGTATCTCTTGAACATTAATAATTGAAAGTTCAGCAGTATGGTTTTCAGAGTACATGTAACTGCTTTGTAATGATATGACACTACGGCAGTGACGGTGTAATATTTTGGCTTCATGCTTATTTTGACGACAAGTATATAGAGTGTAGAATGAAGATGTTCTATCATTAAAATTATTTATGTACTATGGACCTGGTTTAATTTGTATTCTCAACAAAGTTCCAAAACGACTAAGATTCATCAGAATTTAAAATTCACACTTTTAATATATAATTATAACAAGAGAATATGGTGTTGGACTACTGTTGGCAAATACCCCCCTCCCCGAATCGTTTTAAATCGTGTCACAAAATATATTTTACAAAGTGATCGTAAGTGATCGTAAAATTTGGAAATGCACTTTGATTACTCTTCAGCCCTATAGCATCGGTTTTTAAAGGTGGGGTGGGGTGGGGGATGGGAAACAGCAAAACAAAATTTACTCATTAAAACTATGGCTAAACGCCCCTCTCCCCTGAGTAATACTACATGTCTGATTTTAGGTTGTCTACAGCCTTGCAGTTCTTTAAAAGTATACTGAACCATTTGCTTCTCAAATATATAAACATGTTCTGTAAAAGTGAAAATCATAGATATTTCATTACTTTGAGATGAATTTTACAGGGTACGTAGATAACCTTCGGCGGCCCAATGATTATGTGTATCTGGTCCACAGCATAGAGCGATTACGTCACGAACCTTTCAGTACCGGTAAGTTTATCAGTATAGCGGTATTATGTTACCGGTAAGTTTCTCAGTATAGAATTATTACGTCACAAATTTTTCATTGCCGATAAGTTTCTCAGTATAGAGATATTACGTCACAAACCTTTCATTACCTGTAACTCTCTCAGTATAGAGCGATTACGTAACGAACCTTTCAATACCAGTATTGTCCGGTAAGTTTCTTTGCATAGAGATATTATGTAACCGGTAATTTTCTCAGTACAGAGATATTACGTCACAAACCTTACATTACATTAATTTTCTCGGTTTAGATCTCGAGAGATTACGTTACGAACATATTATTATAGAGATGTTACTGAACGAATACTTCAATACTGATAAGTTCCGAAGCACATGTATAGAGAGATAATATTAGGTACTAACGAACCTTTCAATACCGATTAATTTCTCAATATAGAGATATGACGTGACGAACCTTTCCAGTAAGTTCCTTCAAAGAATCATATCGCAGACTTCGCAGATAAATGGTTAGCTGTAAATACGATATTTACAATTTTAGAAATTTTACTATACGAAAATCCGTCATCAACCATAGATTTTATAATGGCAAAGATAAAATTTTTGAGTGTTTTCTCATAAATCTTAATTAAAATCTAACATAGTAGCGTTTTACGTGTCTGCTTGATTTCTCAGTTTAATGCATTGACAATTCTAGATCATTATTCAAAAGGTAATAAATTTATGATTTTATATTAGCTTATTATAAATTTTATTATCAGAGAGAGAGAGAAAATTGTCTCTCCATTCTTCAATTTAGCTACAAGAACACACTCAAGGAAGTAGGAATATTATAATTTTTTCATGGTTTGACAAACAGAATTTCTTCCTGTTAAATGTAAGTGCTCTATTTTAAAGTGTCGTATTTTAAGACCAGTGTATTCAACTAATTGTTTCGAAACAGGAAGATTTTTTTGTTTGTTAAAATTTGTTGAAATTTAATTACTTGTAGCCATGGGAACGGCTGACGTACAAGCGATCTGTAAGGTCCTGGAGGAGGAAGAAACTGCCGAGAAGACTCTAGTAGACAAACTGAACCAACTTATAAAAGAGAACCAAGTAGGTCAAGGTCACGTCAGATATTTCATATACAGTTAAATAAAAACTTACTCATTTATATACATTTGTAAATTGATGTGTTGAGGATACATATTGTATTTCGATGTTGTTATGCAAACAGAAAAATTATGTAGACCCAATCTTTTCTCAATTTCATCCTCTCAATGTCAGGCTTTCTTAATCCACCCGTGAGTGACTGTTGGACCAGTGACAAACTTAACTTCGATTTTTTAAAGGTTACTACCGCGTCTTATGGGGGATTTACAATTCTTATGTCCTGACCAATCAAATTAAGCGTTTTGGTGACGAACAACTTTTAAAGTGATGTCTACTGCGTACTTCCTGTCAAGTTTATGTGCCAACTTTATGAAAGCCCCATCTGGGGTTTAGAAATGAGAGAAAAAGCAGATTAAATTTGTCAGAGGTCCCACGACTTTTAGTGGACACGGTACCACTACTTGGATGATTTCTTGATCATTCTACCGGAATGCAAATTTCGCCAAGCGATAGGCGAGGCCTAATATGCATGTAAATCTCCTTTGACGTCACTGGGCGGGGACTATTAAAATTGACATGGGAGACATGTAATTTAAATCTATTAGTCTACATTTTAAAAATCTAAATTTACGATTTTATTTCACGATGAAATGGAAATATAAGGAATCACTGTATGTATAGATTAGTAGAATACGCAAGAGACATCAACGATAGTTGAAAACATGGGATAATTTATGCATAATATGCTTCGTTTCCCCCCACGTTTCCAGCTATCGTTTATGCCCTTGCATATTCTACTACCTAACCAGTGATTATTTTAATGTAGACTGTCTGTCTGTATCCTTACTTCAAATATTTTGAACAAACATATGAACCATTCAATTCAAGATCATTTTGAGAGTTTGATTGGCTGTTTTAATGAGGTGAAGAAATGTTTGTTTTCAGTTAAATGGTGAGGTCAAAACGGGAAGTGGGGGAAAACCCGGGGAAGTTATAATGAAGATAGCGGGCGAGGTGAACGCAGACACGATCGTTTGCGGAAGTCGGGGTCACGGAAAGCTCCGAAGGACGATGCTGGGCGTGGTTAGTGACTACATCGTACACCATTCGGAAGTCCCCGTGACTGTATGTCGTCACAAACCGCACAACCCCGAGATCAGGCGACAAAGTAGTCTGGAGAAATGATTTATTTTGGTTCACTGGTGCCGGCAAAGAGAGCGTGTTCAAGCTGGAGGGTGTTAATAATGCCAGGGATTTACAAGTGCCATATTTTTTTTATATAAAAAAGAAACCATTAATTTTTGTCACAGTTTTCGTATTGCATGTGTGTTCACTGTTCAATGAGAAGTTTGTTTGTTAAGTGCGTTTCGTATACAAAATAAATTTTCATGAATGTACAGTGTTTCTTGTTAATTCTTAGACCTGTCATATGAAAATTGCATAAAATGTAAACCTATCTCATTTTCTTAAATAGCTGCAAGGCTGTAGCTCGCTGGTCTAAAAAAATTGGAGAGCTACAGTTCTGCAGCTATTTCTTAAAATACTACGTTTGTATTTTTGATAACATTGATGGGATAGCGGCCATGTTCAAGTGATTTGCATCCTTAATATCTTGAATTTAACTGTATTATCACAATTTTTTGAATTTATATCTCATGGCAGGAGGTTAAAGACGTTTATAAGTGCAGATGTTGTGAAAGGGGTTAAATATATCTAGCAAAGTACATGTATATTTTTATACGTCCGCTCCGAAGGAGAGGAGGTATATTGTTTTACCCTCGTGTGTCTGTCTGTCCATAACACATTTCCTTCAGATTTTCTCAGCAACTGCCCATCGCCGATGCTTGAAATTTTAGATCAATGTTTCTTTAGGCATGTCAAATGGGGGAATTCTTTTTTGTATGAATCCGATTTCGAAGTATGAGTGATTTATCGACTTTCAGAAGTTTATTCTTTTATACAAAGTCCTGTACCACAATGTGAACGTGGTCTAGTGCCTGGCGGAGGTCCCTCTCACTGATACTTGATTTCTTGCCCGAGTGCTGGTTGCATGTTGAGTAAGACATCTAACATTGCAGTGTCCAGTATCATTTCGATAACCTAGCAAAATATACAAGCAGTCCCAAAAGAGAGAGGAGCTAGTTGCATGCCAATCTGGTTGCAAGGACTCCAACAATACCGTAGTATGGCGTGTAGTTTTGTTAGCTGGGCTTATTGCTCAAAGAGCAATTGCCGGCTTATGTGATCCTGTTCAAGGCAGGATGTTAACCCAATAGTCGCCAGTTTAAAGTTACGTGCAAAAATATAGTTCTTACTCTCAACCGCTTTTGAGATAATACAAACGCTAAATAAAGCAACAAAAATAAAACGAAGTTTTATCTATATAAAATAAACATTTGTAGTAATGACTTTGAAAACTTCATAAGTCAAAGAACATAGTTCATTAGCGTAAGGATTTTTGATAATCAGTGTTACCGTAGTTCTCTACACATACGAGGTAAAGCAGGAGAGGGAACCAGACTGGCCTGTTTGTTTACATTCAGCTGCGGTACCAGATTAATTCTGATTCTGACAAAATCGGACCGTGGTATTAGGATTGAAAAACTCACTGTCAGTGTCTTATCATTTATATTGATAGTTTTAAAATAATTTTTTCATCAGAATATAAACGTGATTCATGTAAGAAATCCATTCTACTCTGTAAATGAGCCCGGCTCTCTGTACGTCTGAGTACTTTGATTTATGTATGTTATGGTCTTGTGTCAGACTGATATTTTAGTATACCTCTATAATTTAGTTATCAACTAGAAGGATACCTTTAGAATATAACCACTTGTACATGTAGAAATGTTAGGTTCTTACTGCCACAGAAACTGTCCAGTGTGAAGGTTCTTGTCCGATTTCTTGCAAAATGTATTGTTACAACATCAGCTTACAAAAATTGAACAAAACTTGATTTACAAGGTTGGAGCGATAAATAAATAGATCACAAAATTTCAATTCAAAGCTGTGAGATAGCTGATTTTTTAAGGACAAATTATGGCACGATTAATATTTCTTACTGCTCAGTGCCCCTTAGACTTAGAACTGATGCAGCCCTCCTCCTCCATCGGTAATGGTGACGTCTAAATATGTCTGGAAAATTCCAAGTTCAACAAGATGTGTTGGTGAAACACTGTTGCCCCCGTATGGCAACAAAGCGAAGGTTAAACCTTTTCAAATGGAAATGAAATATTTGTTGGTACCCAAAAGTAAGGCCTTCTCAAAAGAAATATGATTGTGCAATATGAAAGCCGTTGCACAACCTGTTCAAAGGTATGACCAAGGTTATACAGTTGTTAGAGGTAGGTCAAACTCCGAGGTCAAATTGCAAATTGTTGTTTGTTGGTTTACATGAATGAAGTATGAAGTTTTTATAAAGTCAGATTACAAATTTTAAGTATGAAAGCCCTAGCCTTTACCATTCAAAAGTTATGAGCAAAGGTTATTTTTTTTTATTTAAGTATCTCAATCTCCAAGGTCAGAAGGTCAAAGCTGTTGATATCCAATGAAAGGACTGCTCATAAAGAATACATATGTGAAGTATGAAAGTCCTAGCACCAACCGTTCAAAAGTTATTGCCAATGTAATTTTTCTGAAAAATTGTGTCAAACTCCAAGGTCAGGGTCAAAAGGTCAAATTTTTTGTACCCCAAAAAAGGTCTTTTGACAAGAAATACACCTGTAAAATATGAAAGCCATATTCATACCCAGTCAAAAGCTATGGGTAAGATAAATTTTTTGCGGAAAATCAGACAGACCGACGGACGGACAGGGCAAAAACTATACACCTCCACTTTACAATAAGATAGAAAACATCATTTGACTCGTGGAATGACCTGTTGACCGCACTTAACATATATTTGCAAACACTCAAAGATCACTGTAAATGATATGTAAATATGTAAATATCTGACCAGTAGATATTTAGTAATTCAAAAAAAAAACTACATCTAAATGATTTTGAAAAACAATGTGACTGGGCGAACTAAGCAATATTTACACAGTAAGGCTTGCAAAATATGACATATTTGTAAAATTAGTATCCTTGGATCTTAGGCCGATGCAGGATATGGGACTACGGTAAGTCGTAAAGACTGGCCTGCCTATATGTATCGCTCCTAATTAATCTCGTGATGTTCAGGTGACTGTGAAGGCCCTCGGGCTTCCTGTTAGAATAAATCGCAAAAATCATATGCACATGTACTTCATCATTTCTAGAAAAAATGCAGTGAAAAATAAGATCTAGCCTTGAATGACACAGACCCAGTTAGTGAATGTCCTTCTGTGACCCCACTACAGTCAACACGAGATAACAATCCGCATTCAGGCATTGTGTCGCAGAAATTGAAATTTCAACTGAGATAAAAAAAAAAATAATTATTAATCGACAATGGAGACGACGGAGAGAAGAGTCTTGATTGCCATGGACGGCAGTGTACACTCGGAATATGCTTTTAACTGTAAGTAAAATCACAACTGTTCACTTGGCACAGTTTCGACAAGTGGTGTATTGAAGGTCATATTGCTATTTTTGTCTATTTTTAGCCACACGTGTTGACTTGTAATCTGTTGCCACTCTATTCTGCGTCTTATGTTTACTTTTAAATTTAGTAATTAAACATTGATTTATTGCCTATATGAAACCGGTTCTTCTTATCAGAATCTTCTTCTCTGCATTATCTCGATAATCATTCCCTGTTTTGGCTCACCCGAGACATGTATTACTACCTTGCATTGTGTATTATCATGATTATCTAGTGTAATTTTTTCAGAGGCTAAAATAGGATTTCATATCAACATTTACCATGTGTTAAAATTTTGTTTATGAAATGGGGTATTTTTCCTATTTCCATAAAATACGGAGTTAACGAAGCGTAATCAAGCTCAAAAGATTAATTAACGAATGAGTTAGAGAAATCGAGAGTAGAGCAAACGAGAACCTCCAAGGAATATAATGCCATATAATTTAATTCTGGTTGTAACGCTGTATTTCATTGGGTAATGAATTTACTTTATATCGTATAAAATGGGTTGCCTACGTCACAATGACTTGCGTCAAAAACGTATCAATCCTGAGGTTACATTCAAATTTTATACAAACTAAAGTCATTTTGTTAGAACAATCATCTTTTTTTCTTACATCAAATGAATGAAAATTAAAATTATAAGCAATGAATTTAATAGCTACCCATTTTATAAAATGGGTAGCTATATATATTAAATTCATTCCTTAAGTAGAAGTAAGCATCCACTGACAACCATATACATCAGCCTGTGCGCCTTGTCATGATCCCGCAGGCCACAAATCCTTGCAACATAAACTTATTTATCAGTAGCCCGCCTCGGTCTAGACATTTATCGTAAATGGAGCATAGTACTCTAAAATTGGAATAAGTTTGATAATGCAATTGTCATATTCATGTGAAATATTACTACATAAATATGATAAATGAGTTGCCGATCGATGGAAAATTAAAGCTAAAGTCACCTCGTTTGTCATAAAATTTAGTTTTTTAATGGCCCATGTCGTCTCATCGTCTCAAGCCACGGTCCGGAGTCCGCGTACATAGCTCTCTCCAGAATGGGAGAGGATCGTACATTTTTGCCGTGGTTTGCAACGATGATGTTTTCTCCACAAGAACGACTAGAAAATTTAAGATTATCAAATTGATATACAAGCATTGATCCAAATGTAGTGTAAACATGGTAAACTACATTTATTTTTTAGTTTAGTAAAAAAATTCATGTACCAGAACAGCAAAGTTAATGGAAATTTACGTTATTTTGCAAGACCAAAAAATCGAATTAATTTCACTGACATCATGCCTCAAAACTGGTTGAATTCTGTACTTTTGCGTTTACAGAATAATTCAAAGACATGTTTACATGATCCTTGTTATGACAATAAGAGAAAATTGACACGGGTGAGTCTTGTGGCCCGTGGGTCGCTTGTATTATGTTTTGTTTTATATTAAAAGTAAATATTTTTTTTCCAGGGTACCTAACAACGTTCAGACTTCCCCAAGATGTTGTCCTCCTCGTCCACTGTGTTCAGAGACATGATCAATTTCACGCAGGTAAAGATGACATTGTACACTGTATACACCAGGTCAATACCACACAGGTAACACTGATCTCAATCAAAGGAGAAACCTTCAAAGTAAAAACAAGAGATCTAACAGATTAAATGATGGCAAATTCATCTCGACGGCTTGGACGAAGGACAGAGTATTCAATTAGCACTACCAACTTATATTTAATGTTTAAAAATTGTCTACTGAAATGAAATTTACAATTAATCAAATTTGATTATCTCTGAAAACTTGGATTCCAGCTTTGGGTATGTCTGATGTGAA